AGTCTAAGCATGAAAAGAGCGAATAATATGTTATTTGTATGTGGAAATGACTCACCCGCATCTGTTTACAATCTGTCACATTCAGTTCCGTCAGCGAAAATGCGCACCGGGTGAAACAACACCCTGCGTTAAATGGTTCCGACTGCCGTTATATTCCCACATACTTAAATCATTTAATGTCATGATTAAAATAATATATTCCAAATAGTATTATGGTATTATTTAATGTATCTTGGACTACCACATAAATTCATGGACATAATATTTCAGTATGGTGTTTGTACAGTGCATACATGACACCATAACAGCATTTACTTTTTTACTCAAGTGAAGCAATATACGTTTTTTCTCCTTCTTAACACAATGACTATAGAAGGAGGGGTATTAAAAGTCATAACAAATTCTCAAGGTTTGCAAAATAACATAGGCTCTATTACCCATCAACAAAATATGCTTCCTGACATCATGCCACCAAACCTCCACTATCAGAATCTGAATCAGAATGAGCTTTATTCGTCAAGTGTGTGCAAACATACAAGGAATTTGTTGTGTTTTTTAGGAGCTCTTGGTTCATACATACATGCATATGACAAGAGTTGTTGTGTAGGAGTGTGTAAAATCATTTTATAGCTACTCTGTAATACTGCAGAGATTGTATTTTTTCAGTCTTTCTTCTCACAAACTCAGACCAACATCTCACACAAACTGCACATATATCACAGTCATTAGCAACCCACGTGGGCCTAGAATTAATTGCCATACAAATTCTCTAACTGCATATAAGATCTATGCATTCTTAAATTGTGGTCGACAACATTAAGACTTTGTATGATAATAAAGCCAAGAGGTTTGGTGTGAGTGGCAAAGATGAGATTTAATTTTTGTACTAGCCAATAGCCAAAAGCTTGCCGTTCTTGAAGCCAGGCCTGCATCTACTGTTCGGGTCCCCACAGAAAACAAAACATTATTCAAGTCTTTTTCAGGCCACGGACAGAAACAGTCATTATCGTGGACTCCGGGCTAAACCTGCCACCTCCCCTCCAGTCCCCCTGTTCTCCCCCCTGCTACCCTTTCTGAGAGCTTATTGTCTTGGCTCGTTTAAAGAAAGGCTTTGTTAATGTAGGAGGAGTGGACATGGACTAATGGGCTCAAATAAGTTCCTCTCTGCGATATTGTTGTGGGATAATGGTGGTACGAGCACCAGCTGTAAACTTGCAGGCGCCATACTGTGCGTGACCTACATAGACCCCCATTTGATCTCGTGCTGAATGCTTATTTTCTATCTTCTTTTTTATGTTGTTATGAGACAATTAAGAGAGTCTGCAATTGGACAGGCCGCTGTAAGTGACATGTAGAGAGGGACGAGAAGAGAATATTTTTTTTAGAAAGGACACAGCAAACAGTGTCAAAACGCTAACCTGGCAAACCTTGACAATTAGCAGCAACTGTATGAAATGTTAATCCAGCTAGGTGGTTATGAAGTTATCTTCATTAACCTTACTAACCTTGTCAAATGGCAGCAAAAATGAAATGCTAGTCCACCTAACTGGTTGATATAAATAATACATAATAAATGTATTTTTAAATGTGATTCATTGTATGATTCAGGTTCATATGTGCTTGTGCCACTTCAAATCACATCTTTCAATGGATGTTGTTGGCCAACATTTAAGTAATTTTATCATAGATTTTATACCATTTTGATTGTTTTATTTTGATCATTTTTTTGTAAATGAGCCCTTACTCTACTGTTCAAAATTCTGGGAACTGAAAATGAAAGTGAAAAAGTGAAAGTGATGTGACGTGCGTCCAAGGATGGTGACCCATACTCGGAATTTGTGCTCTGCATTTAACCCATCCAAGTGCACACACACAGCAGTGAGTAGTGAACACACACCCGAAGCAGTGGGTAGCCATGATGGTAATGAAACAAAATATTACAATTTCAACCAAATGATGTTCTTTAAACTTTCAGTCACTCTTTCAACAATGTAAGAAATGTTTCTTGAGCATCAAATCGGCATATTAGAATGATTTCTGAAGGATCATGTGACACTGAAGACTGGAGTAATGATGCTGAAATTTCAGCTTTGCCATCACAGGAAAAATTATGATTGAAAAAATAACTGAAACAGAAAAGAGTTATTTTAAATTGTAATAATATTTCACATTATTACTGTTTTAAATATATTTGACCAAATAAATGCAGCATTGATGGAAATAAGCATTCTTACTGACCCCTACATTTTTGAATGGTAGTGTATTTCTACAGCTGTCTGTTGGGTTTTACCTAACACAGTCATACTGTGTGTATGTCTTGCTGCTCTTCAAAAGCTTTGGTTGTTGCACTACCCCTAAAAGTCTGCTATGTTATAAGTAGTTATGGATTGTACTTGTAATTCTTTAGTAAGTTTACATAATACCTTTAATTAACAACAAATTTTACAAGTAAACAAATCTATCAGCCATCTAAAGCCCACATCTACTCCCTTAATAGGCAAAGAAGAAGTATGTCCTAATAAACAAGGTTGCTATTTTTGGTTTGAACAATGGAGTTGATGCATCATAATTTTCTCAAATTGGATGAAAGTGGGCGCCATCATTTCAGCACAAACTACAGCACAGAGAATAGATCATCAGCATGAAAAAACAAGCCTGAGCTACAGCACAACTATTCCTTTATCTCTTTGAAATGTATTCTCATATCAGCCTCCCATCTCTCTCTCTTGCTCAAATCTTGACCCACATGCCTCTCTTTTTCTCTGTTTGTGTTTTCAGTGTCTATTTGGATTCTGCGCTCCAGCACTGATGACTAAATTATGATTGGACGTAAGGATAGCAGGGCTTTCATCTACCCAGCGTTGTTCCTCACTTTCCTCTCCAACACAAAGGGCCCCTCTGCCTCTGCTCGGCCCGCTTTTGAAGAGTAGAGTGGCTATGTGTCCCCATGGAAACCACTGCGTTCCCAACAGAAGTAAGGTGTACTCTCAGATAGAGAGAGAGACAGAAACAACATCAAGCCATATCGCAATCATTCATCTGTTTATTAATTTTCAACGTCCATGTCCTTCTTAAGGCTCTGAAGGGTCAGACATGCTGGTGTGCTTGGTGCAAATAATGCAGTTTTGATGTTGACTGTTTTTGTGACCTGTGAGAAAATGCTTTAACATTGTCCCATTGGTTGTAAAATACCAAATTATTTTTGTATATAATTTTATTTATATTTTTTGTAACTATATTTTGAACATTATAAATACATTTAAATATATTACAAAATAGCCAAAAATCTATGAAGAAATGTAAGTAAATCACATAAAAAATTATCTATATTAGCAATATATTGTTTTGTATATTTTGAAATGAATATACAGTTGAAATATAGAAATATATCCAAATATATATCGTGAAAACTCAGCAAATCTCTAAAGAATTCATTTCTCTGAACTGAATCCATCAAGTTTGAACTTTTCTTGATAGGTGATACATAGTTGAATTGCCCAATGAAATCTTTTGGGGGCGGGGTTTGAATAGCAGTGGACTTTACGGTGCTCCAGTGACCTCAGCTTGTGCTTGTTTTACATCATTGACGTCGGAATCACCGCTGGCCTCTATTTCATGTTCATAAGGCTTTACTTCCTGCAGCACAACAGTAATCTTTACACTAACAAAGCTTGTGAATGAGTCTCCATTCACACGGGGAGAATCCAATTATCATGGCACAATGGTGACAGTCTGAGGCATCTCTCTCTCTCTCTCTCTCTCTCTCTCTCTCTCTCTCTCTCTCTCTCTCGGGTAAACCATTGTCACAGTCATCTAATAAAGTCAAGATCACTTGGCATGGAGTGTGTAGGTAGCAATCTGTGTTCAGACTATTTGGTGCTCAGACATACTCTACTAATTTTCCGGTCGCTTGGTGGAAGTCACATCCTATTCATGTGCCTGAAGTGATGATACATAGGCTATTTTACTGTTTTTCATGTTTTAATGAATTTATTTTCCCTTCAATCACTGATTTCAAAACTCTCCCAAATAAATACATGGCACATTTAATGTTTAATAATACTAAAAATAATACTATTAAAAGCGAATGATTTAGAACAGTGGTTCCCAAACCTGGTCCTTGAGGCACCCCAACACTGCACATTTTGCATGTCTCCTTTCTCTGACACTCGTTTCAGGTCTTGGAGTCTCTACTAATGAGATGATGACCTGAATCAGGTGTGTTTGATTAAGGAGACATGCAAAACGTGCAGTGTTGGGGTGCCTCCAGGACCAGGGTTGGGAACCACTGAATTAGAAAATCCTGTTATTCGCTATAAAAACGTTCAGGCTCCGTTTAAAAAGCTGTCCGTCTTGACGTCATTGTGCTGCTATCTAGTGTAGGGTACGAACCTCCTTATGATTTCATCAGGCAGCTAGAGACGGACACAGCAATATGAATTCGATTCAGCAAGTAAAGTTCTAAATGTAGTCCATTATTCAATGTACACTACCGTTCAAAAGTTTGGGACTGGTAAAATCAAACATACATTAAAAAAGATGGGAAATATTACAAATGTAAATAATTGTGTTCTACTTTAATATATTTTAACATTTATTTCATTCCTGTGATGGTAAAGCTGAATTTTCATGATCCTTTAAAAATCTCTCTAATGCTTATTTGGTGATTGTTGATTATCATCAATGTTGGAAACAATCCTGCTGCTTAATACTTTTGTGGAAACTGTGACGCTGATATGGTGATTATGTTGCAAACAGCTGTCCTGTTTTATATTTTTGTGGAAATTATAATTAATTCAAGTTTATTCAAGATTCTTTCAAAAATAGAAGGTTCAAAAGAATAGCACTGATTTAAAATAGAGATCTTTGGAACATTATAAATGTCTACTGTCACTTTTGATCAATTTAATGCATCCTTGCCAAATACAAGTATTAATTTCTTTAAAAAAAAAAAAAGAAGATGATCAGACAGTGACAAAACACACAAGATATTCTTCTTAAAAAGACTAATTTATTATTGACGTCATAATAACACAAGACCTGATCACATAAGCACACAGACTGACATAAACAGAACTATATATGCAGTGACAGACGTGGTACAGAGTGAACAATGAACAGGAATGTCTACCGGTGTGAACTAACAGTATTTCAGTTAAAAGCAGGTATTTATACTGTTAAGGCCTAATCTCACTGTTTCTGGGACGGCTTCAAGAGTGGATGCCCGAAGACAAGACAACTACACATGCAGACAATAAGGCAACAGGTGTTCAAGCACCTGAGAGATAGCAGTAGCACAAAAATACAAATATATTTTTGCACTACAGGGGATATAATAAAAAAAAAAAAAAACTTTGCAATGTTAAAATGTATAAACAGTGATAAAATTTACTAAATGAATGCTTCTAATTTGTTTTTAAAAGCATAATGAAGGTTACAGAAGCTCCTTCCATTTAAAGAGACACTTTCTAATCTTCCATTTGAAAGTGCACTGGTCCCCCTACTGGTTGTAGTGGTGAAGTCAAATATTTCTCTGTCTTTGGTCCCAGTTAGACAGGAACTGAGACTAACAGAGTCTGCGGCTTGACGTGAGTTGAGGCCTGAGCGTCAGTGTGTGCGTGTGTGAACGCCCCGTCAACACCCAGCAGCTTTACAGTTTGGGTTGGCTTGACAACTTAATCTTCAGATTCTTGGCCAGTTTGTCCAAGAACTCAAAAGTGTTGAGGTAATCAGAGCGTGTGATACTGCAAAGAAATAAACAGAAAAAAAAATATATATAAAATCTAAAATAACTTTACACTGTTGCTATCCTTTAAAATCTGCATTAATATCAAGTTTTCAATGTTTTTTATGCCATATCAAGCATTTAACGCTGAATTCATGCAGTCCAACACCACTCAAACCAAATATGATCCACAATAAATACCAAATGTTTCAGAGCAAGTGTCCCAGAGTAGATAATGGACATACTTAGACATGCCCTTGATGCAGATGGCCAGGTCCTTGGTCATGAAGCCAGCTTCAATGGTCTCGACACAAACGGCCTCCAATGCCTCAGCAAACACCCGCAGCTCTGCATTCTTATCCAGCTCTGCCCGGTGCAGCAGCCCTCGTGTCCACGCACAGATAGAGGCTGATGGGACAAAAATTATCATGAAAAACAGTTTCGTGTGCATAATCTGTGGATATGATTGATTAGGAGTGGAAGTAAAGCAAGTATGTTTTCCTCACCAATAGGGTTGGTGGACGTCTCTTTGCCCTGCTGGTGCATGCGATAGTGCCGTATAACCGTGCCATGAGCTGCCTCGGCTTCTACTGTACGCCCATCAGGACACACAAGCACACTGGTCATCATACCCAATGACCCATAACCTAGAGACAGAGAACAGTGAGCTTACTCACTATAAATTATTTTTCATGATACTTTGCATAATTCATTTACCGAGTAATGTCATTACGCAAATGCATGATAGGTTTTAAAGCAGATTCAAGCCACCAAGCCACCACAAAAACACGCACAAAGATTGGAGTTAGCAAGATAATTTAATGTTTAAAATTAAATTAATTTATTTGATTAAAACATATGGCTAAATATGTGACCGTGGCCTGGACATAAGGGTCAATTTTTCGAAAATTTAGATTTATACATGATCTGAAAGTTGAATAAATAAGCTTTCTATTGATGTATGGTTTGTTAGGATAGGACCAATATTTGGCCGAGATACAACTATTTGAAAATCTGGAATCTAAGGGTGCAAAAAAATCAAAATATTGAGAAAATCGCCTTTAAAGTTGTCCAAATGAAGTTCTTAGCAATGCATATTACTAATCAAAAATTATGTTTTGATACATTTACAGTAGGAAATTTACAAAATATCTTCATGGAACATGATCTTTACTTAATGTCCTAATGATTTTTTGTATAAAAGAAAAATCAATAATTTTGACCCTATTTTTTTGGCTATTGCCACAAATATACTCCAGCGACTTAAAGGAACACTCCATTATTTTTGAAAATAGGCTCATTTTCCAACTCCCATAGAGTTTCTATATTTTTCCTATTTAAAACTTGACTCTTCTGTAGTTACATTGTGCACTAAGATTGACGGAAAATGAAAAGTTGCGATTTCTAGGCCGATATGACTAGGAACTATACTCTCATTCCGATGTAATAATCAAGGAACTTTGTTGCCGTACCATGGGTGCAGCAGGCACAATGATATTACGCAGCACCTGAAAATAGTCCCCAGCTAGGTAACTTCCAATAAGCCTATTTTCAGGCACTGCGATCTTCTACAGAAGAGTCAAGTTTTAAATAGGAAAAATATAGAAACTCTTTGGTCCTTTTTGAGCGAGATGCTAACGGTCTAATCAGATTCAACGATCTATGCTAAGCTACAGCTAAAAGTGCTACCGCCAGACTAGGAGATCGGCTGAATGGATTCAAAAACGGTAAAACTCAACTGTTTAACTCTAGGGGAGGTGGAAAATGAGCCTATTTTCAAAAATAGTGGAGTGTTCCTTTAAGACAGGTTTTGTGGTCCAGGGGCACATATTACAACTTAAAACAAATGTTTTCTATTTTAATATACTGAACAAAAGCATTAATTAATAAATGAATGAATGAATGAATAAATAAATCTTACTGTCCTCAAACATTTAAACGGTACTGTACACTGAGATTATCCACCACATACATTTTTTTTTAATGTTCAATGCTGAACAATTCATTTTAGTATCTGGTAACTTTTTTCAGAGATTTCTTTTGGCATTTGTGGAGTGCAAATTATAATTTTGAATCATTATTTTACTGCATGTTTTACTCACCCTGAGCTACAGAGTCTGATTGCACGTCTCCATCATAGTTCTTGCAGGCCCAGATAAATCCACCGTCAGACTTCATGGCCTGAGCCACCATGTCATCAATCAGCCGATGCTCATACCAGATGCCTTTGGCCTCGTACTGAGCCTTGTACTCTCTGCAACACACACAGTGTCAGAATGCTCAGAATGCTCTTTATCGTCTTTCTGAATTCACTTCTCATTGTTTGTCGCTCTGTCATCTTATTCAGTGTGGGCATATGGGATTATGAATAGACATTTATGCTTAGATGCCAGGACAGAAGAAAACCTTTTTGTAAGGAAAAATTGTACTGATTTACATGTAAGCCTTTAAATTTATGACAGGCGGTTTTGGACTCATTTTCTTTAGGTCAAAAAACACTGTAACTAGATCAATTACTGGGGGGAATTTATTCAATGACAGTTCACAAGCAACCATTTCACTGAGGACTCACTTGTCATAGATTTCCTGGAAAATATCTTTGAAACTGCCATCATATTTCTTCAAGATGGTGTTCTTGGTCCTGAGGTACACCGGCCAGCCTTTGTTCAACCCCATCTGGAAAGAGCTGTGAGCAAAGTCTCAGATTGACTTGTCTGTGTTGTACATCCCCAGAGCAACTCCACCAGTACCTAAACATACATAATCACACATAGTGTCAGAAAACCCTGGTCTAAAAGCAGATATGCTTGTGCCAATTATATTTAGAAACAACTAGGCTATGTTCCAATAATTTCAAATCAAATATCAAACCTTTGCACAACATCTATTTCATCTGATCACTATTTGCAGATCCAGGACAGTGTTAATCTGGCCATGTGGCCTCACTGACAAGACAAACATGCTCAATGCTCAAACAGGTGACAGTAAAGAGACATTTCTGACATACAGAAGGGCTGCATTCACACAATGCTGAATAATTCATTTATTTAAACAAAAAAACAGTCTTTATAGTTAAAGGGCCACTCAGATCAAACTATAACCTATAAAGATAAAAGTACAGATGCTGACAAATAATAACATTTTCAAGCACAGAAAGTGATGTTAGGTAATAAAAGTGCTAAATTATGGGATGATAACATTTCCATTTGGCCTTGAGAATTACCACATTGTACTTGCAAACAGGAAATATTTGTAAGACTTGGCAGATAACTGATCAGTGGCATGATTATCGTTAGTAATATTAGTCACTAAAATATATCTGTGGTAAGTTCATATTAGTTATAAATATCAAAATAACTGAAAACTATTACATTTCAGTATCAAACATTTAAATAGTACATAAATATTAATTTATTTATTATTTAAATATGAATTATTTTATAATATAGAGAAATAAAAAGATTTTAAAAGGAGGTTACAAATGAATTTATAATTTCACATAGCAAACAATGATAATATGGCATTACCTTTAGTGTTATGGTTACCATGTCAAATGTTTGTAAGAAACAACTAATTGGCAGCAAATTGACTAACATACGGGCTGAAATCTGAGTATATTTAATTAGAGAAATGCTCACCTGCCGTGAACGGGACACACACACTTAATCTTACCCACATTTAATCTCACCTGTGCAGGTCGAGCTCCAGATAAGGAAAATTAGTTTCTCTTTTATGAGCTCCCATATTACTCTGGTCATCTCATCTCCTTGCATCTCGACCACAGAACCCGCTTTGATCTTCTGAGACATTTTGGACCCTGCAAATCCAATGATGGTTATGTTAAGATGTATAGTAGCATTAGTACTTACTCCCTGAAGAATGAATAGATTCCATTGAGAAAGTTACACATTCAGCGAGTCAGCATCTCTGCCTTAAACCTGTTTTAACGGACAGCATTTTTGAGCCTGCAGACTAATCTAGATTTAGAAGTCTGTAGTTTGTTTGGTTTTCCATAATTAGCAATAGTAATACCTTAGTTTTTCAGATATGCATGGTAATTTTTGGATACAGTAAAAGGACATGCTGTTCTTTTAGGTACCCTGAACTACTATGCAAGTACAATCATTATGGTGTTACTATCTCTGTACTGATGTACCAGCTTTTGTGAGAGACATCATCAGCTATTCTCATGCAACTAATGTAACAGCACCTGACACACAGGCAGCCACTGTGTAATATGACACAGGCATTTTAATCACCATTGAGAGATTGAGTGTATCTTAGTATAAATTGTGTTCTGTTAACAAATGTTTCAACGTCTTGTTGCAGTTCCACAAACTGGCACTGGTTACTTAACAAAACAATTAGGACAAAGGTCAAATACAACGCGAGCAATCCTGTTTTGCACACATAAATTAATATCTTAATAAAAGATTGGTAACGAAGGTTTAGACGAATGTAGGGGCTACTTCTACAATCAGTTGTAAAATTATTAATGCAACATAAACAATTCATTACATATTTCATTTATATATGACCACCGAGTTTCGTTTTTTGTAATGAATGTATAACTTTAACAGTGCTTTCTTCAGTAATGCTCGGTAGCCTACTTTGCAGGAAACGTCAGATGAAACAACAGCTACTGTATTGTGTGATAAATGTGATTTACCAGCGATTTTGAACGATCGCGACTCAACATACGACGCCTACCTTTTCTTTTGAGGTTGTACAGGAGAAAATAGAGAGATATAAGATGGTTGATGTGTCGTATGGAGGCTTGAACGTTTTTGGACTAGTCTTAGAAGGCGTTCCTATCATCATCCCAGTTTCGGCCCAGATCCGGCCCACATCTGGCCCGCATGGATTTCACATGGGCCAGATGTGGGCCGGATCTGGGCCAACAATATGTTGCTGTCTGGGATCTGAGTGGATGGCATGGCTCTCTCCAGCTCTGCTAATACATGTACTTCTTCAATCAGATAATCCTCCACCAATACAAGACAATAGGGAACTATACTCAAATTATTAGTCCCTCCTTCATTATTCACCCTAGAGGCATTTAGGTTTCTGGATAATAGCTGTTTGCAGTGGGACAGACACTGTCTTCCTCTAGGGGACGCTATATGCTGCTCAAAAAGGCGGACCATTCGTTGAACTGTATAGGGTCACAAATCCATTTCTTTTCTTTTTACAATTGAAATAAAATGGCCAATAATTAAGAAATGACTTTGAATTCAAAACATTTAGACTCATAAATTAACATGTTAATATTCTGACATCCACAAAAATTTATATTTGGCACACTGCCTTTGTCTTGTCCTCACTCAATTTAAAGTGCTCCCACACAGCTGAGGTCTTTGGCTTTTTTGTCTTCTCTTCCAGATGAAATGAATCATGACGTTCATTCACTCATGGGCCATTCATATTCAAGCGCAAATGAGAACTGTTTCGCGGGGAATGCCAGGTGTTCGGAAAAAAAGAAGAATATTCCAATCTCAAAATTGAAAATCGAATGCCAACCCACCGAACAAATAGAATATTCTGGTCCAGCCCTACTGGAAATCTGGCAGTTAGAGGTTTTAGTCAAATTAAACTTGACTCAAACTTGATTTTCATCCCTATTTTTAAGTTACTGTACTCTCTGCCTTTGCATTGTCTGCAAAAAGTGAGAAGTCACGCCAAGGCAAAAGGCATTAATTTACACATTATCAATATTTGGTTGCTGATCACCATTTACAAAATCATTATTGTAACACCTGTATAAAATCTATAGTGATCATGGGCTAGCTCAGGCTTTAACATATAATGTGACTGTATTCATTGTTTTTCTGACTGTAACAATCAAAAAGTCAAACATTTGAGTGGATACCGTTTTGCAACAAATGTATTTGCAATGTTTACTAACGTAAAAGGATGCCATAGACATAGCCTAATTGGTTTTATATCTAACTGAATAAAAATAGCCTAGCACAAAAGGAAGACTTGTGGGTTGATGTGAAAGGCAGTAAGTAGAAATAATGCTCAGAATGCTTGTGGATTAAAAAAAATCTCTGATGACGTTCATTGCCATGGATTTTATCGGGTTACAGGAAAAGTTAAGATATGGATTTAATTGCGAACTACAACTGATTTTATGTGTGATCATCAGGGCCGTCGCTAGGAATTCTGGGCCCTGTGCACTGAATTTGCTATGGGGCCCCATCAAAATCACGTTCAGTGGGAGGTGGTTCGCGGGCACCACAGTCCTCTGGGCCCTATGCACTCTGTCTCTGTCACCCTTTCCCCCCCAATAGCGACGCCTCTGGTGATTATGGATTTTTATTTTTTTTTATTTTTTTTACAATGGTTATACAATGGTTTTTCTGAAACATTTTAGTTGGATTCTTTAACGTTTTTTTAAACGTTACTACTTGTTTCAGAATGCCCAGAGAACATTCAAAACTAACGTTCTCATAATGTTCTCAAAAAGAAAGTTCCCTTACTGTTTTCTTTAACGGTTGCATAACCTATAATAATTTTTTTTTTAAACATTTGTGAACCTGGACCACAAAACCAGTCCCAAGCTGCACAGGGATATTTGTAGCAATAGCCAAAAATACATTGTATGGGTAAAAATTATAGATTTTTCTTTTATGCCAAAAATCATTAGTATATTAAGTAAAGATCATGTTCCATGAAGATATTTTGTAAATTTCCTACTGTAAATATATTGAAACTTAATTTTTGATTAGTAATATGCATTGCTAAGAACTTCATTTGGACAACTTTAAAGGCGATTTTCTCAATATTTAGATTTTTTTGCACCCTCAGATTCCAGATTTTCAAATAGTTTTATGTTAAGATGTATAGTAGCATTAGTACTTACTCCCTGAAGAATGAATAGATTCCATTGAGAAAGTTACACATTCAGCGAGTCAGCATCTCTGCCTTAAACCTGTTTTAACGGACAGCATTTTTGAGCCTGCAGACTAATCTAGATTTAGAAGTCTGTAGTTTGTTTGGTTTTCCATAATTAGCAATAGTAATACCTTAGTTTTTCAGATATGCATGGTAATTTTTGGATACAGTAAAAGGACATGCTGTTCTTTTAGGTACCCTGAACTACTATGCAAGTACAATCATTATGGTGTTACTATCTCTGTACTGATGTACCAGCTTTTGTGAGAGACATCATCAGCTATTCTCATGCAACTAATGTAACAGCACCTGACACACAGGCAGCCACTGTGTAATATGACACAGGCATTTTAATCACCATTGAGAGATTGAGTGTATCTTAGTATAAATTGTGTTCTGTTAACAAATGTTTCAACGTCTTGTTGCAGTTCCACAAACTGGCACTGGTTACTTAACAAAACAATTAGGACAAAGGTCAAATACAACGCGAGCAATCCTGTTTTGCACACATAAATTAATATCTTAATAAAAGATTGGTAACGAAGGTTTAGACGAATGTAGGGGCTACTTCTACAATCAGTTGTAAAATTATTAATGCAACATAAACAATTCATTACATATTTCATTTATATATGACCACCGAGTTTCGTTTTTTGTAATGAATGTATAACTTTAACAGTGCTTTCTTCAGTAATGCTCGGTAGCCTACTTTGCAGGAAACGTCAGATGAAACAACAGCTACTGTATTGTGTGATAAATGTGATTTACCAGCGATTTTGAACGATCGCGACTCAACATACGACGCCTACCTTTTCTTTTGAGGTTGTACAGGAGAAAATAGAGAGATATAAGATGGTTGATGTGTCGTATGGAGGCTTGAACGTTTTTGGTCTAGGCTTTGAAGGCGTTCCTATCATCATTCCAGTTTCGGCCCAGATCCGGCCCACATCTGGCCCGCATGGATTTCACATGGGCCAGATGTGGGCCGGATCTGGGCC